GCGGTGAGAGGCTTTCAGGTAAGTTGTGGATCCCTCGAGGATCCTCTTTCTTCTTTCTTTTCTCCCTCAGTCTCCACTTTTTTTTTTCCTTTTAAACCCCTTTGTTGCCACCTCGCTTCAATCTCTGAGCTTCCATCCTAATATGGTAATGGCTCCGGAAGCGGGATTCCCCGGGTCTTTTCGCCGCGTCCATGCTTGCTCCTTCACAATAGATGATACTAAATTATTCAAAGTAGCCAAGTCCCAAGCTGATGGAGAGGAACTGCAGAAAGATCTCAGAATAAGTGAGTGGGCGAACAGTGGCAGATGAATTTCAGTGTTGACAAGTGCAAAGTAATGCACCTGTGGGAAAATAACCTCAACTATACGTACATAATAGTCAGTTCTGAACTAATTATTATTACTCAGGAAAGAGAGCTTGGAGTCACTGTAAATAGTTCTCTAAAAACATCAGCTCAATGTGCAGTGGACAACAAAAAAGCCAATATAGCGTTAGGCATCCTTAAGGGAACTAAAAACAAAACGGAGAACATCATCATGCCATTATGCAAATACATGATATATCCACATCTTGAATACTGTGTGCAGTCCTGGTCTCTGCATCTTAAAAAAGTTGTAGTAGGATTGGAGAGAGTACAGAGAAAGGCAACCAAAATAATCAGGGGTATGGAGCAGTTGCCATACCAGGAGAAACTAAAAAAGGTAGGATTCTTCCATTTGGAAAGGAGAAGACTGGTGGGGAACAACAGGAGTAGGGAGTTCTCCTGTGTGTGGGTAGCCTCTCACCCTCACCTGCCAGCCTTGATGGATTGATTGTTGGAAAGATATAGTGGGGAAGGCTGTCTTAGGTCCGTGGCCCTGATGTTGGGGTCTAAGTACACAGCTCCACCATCCCCTACACCGCATCTGTCTCCACCCTGAGATCTTAATAGCACTGGTCAGTCACTAGATATTTTAATTAGGGCTTGAGAGGATCTTGTTTGCCCTCTGGACCTACATGTTCAGTTAAGGATGATTACCAGTCTCCATATCTTGTTCCCTGTCTTTATTAAGCCACCAATGAAGGTAGTAATTTATATTAAAGAGTTGTCATCACTTGTTATATCAAACCAAATCAGCAATGCACAATGAGAAATTGGTATCTTCTCACCAAGCTTCTTCTTTCTGGGATTCCCTTTTGCAAGACAGCTTCTTAGGCCCTGCCTGCAATGTCCCAGGCCCCCTTCACTACAATCTAGGCGGTCAAAAGCCGCAGAACTACTGGCTGTGCTTGACCACCTGGCGATTCTCTCCACTTTGGTCTCTGTCTCATCAGGGGTGCCTTTTCACGGTTATTGCTCACAGTGTGGGTATAACCCCATCTCTGCCCACAACTGGGTTCTCTCTTTACCTGAGGGCTACTGCTGATCGTCAGTTATAGTCCTCCCCCAGCTGGGTTTGGCTTTTTACTTACGGTTTCTGCCTCAAACCATTACTTTCAGTTTCTTTTCTGTCTTGTAGGTCCAGTGAGTCTGGTATCATCAGTGCCCTGTGAAGCTCTTATGAGCCATCCTTGCCCGGCATCCTCTGCCAAACCTGCTGCTCTAGTGTTCACCCCCCACCACCATCTTCACACGCGCACCGGTAAGTATTGACCCTGTCCCCGTTTCGGTCTTAGGGGGGAGAGTGTCTTCCCTGCCTCTTCAGAATCCTGGCATCCCTTTTAAACTTTGCGCACACCTGACATTAACTTCCTCCGTCCAGTTAAAAGGGGCCGTGCTTGTGTTTATTTTTTTCTTGCGCTTGTCTCCTGGTGTTGGCTTGTCTGCCAGGTAAGCGTAGCAGCTGCGGATTCTGCCTCTCTGCTTCAGGGGGATGCAAGAGAAGCCTATAAAATCATGATGGGTGTGGACAAAGTGAACAGGGAACTGTTATTCACCAAGTCCCAGAATGCTAGAACTAGAGGCACCTAGTAGGAGACAGTTTAAAACTAAACAGAGAAAATACTTTTTAACACAATGCATAGTTAACTTGTGGAATTCCTTGCCATAGGAGGTGGTAGAGGCAGATAGCATAGCCAGATTCAAAAGGGGACTACACAAATTCATACTTGATAAATCTATTAATAACTGTTGAAAAGAATAGTTAGAGATGTTTTCTCTATTCCCTCTAAACTATTAATTGGCAGATGCCAGGGAGGATAATGGATAAATCACTCTAGTATCTGGTTCAATGCTCTCCCACTAAAGCATATACTTCTGTCACTGTAGCATACAGGATACTGGGTTAGATGAACCGTTGGTCACCTTGTATGGCACTTAGTTTTTCCCACTCCCTCTCTCCTTCTGGCTGTGCTCTCTGCCCCTGGTGGCAGGGCAGGGTGGCGTGGTACGCAGGGCTAAAGGCTCCAGCGCTGGGCAGCTGGAGAAGGTGCAAGTAATCCCACAAAACGTAGTGTAGCACAGTACAGCAGGGCATGAGGATGCCAACTGGAAGCAGGGGTGGGGGGCAATCACATGGGATGCTTGGTGCAAGAGCACTGGCACTGTAAGGAGGGAGACTACCATAGTGTGACATGGTCTTAGCCCACAGTTCGCAGCTGGGGTTCATGTGAACCCCAGCCACTCAGAAGTTGGCCAGACCTGGTTTTTTATAATCAAAGGTAATCATTATTGCAAGGCATACTAATGGGCCTGTTTTTGGATATTAAACTTCCATTTGTTTGTTCCAACAGCCTGCTAATTTTACATGCATTTTTGTCTTGTACTTTGTTGGTGAATACTGGATTCTATGTCTTTAACAGAGGCTTCTATTCTGGGTTTTGTACTCCTGGTAGGGTCATCCATGCTGGCAAGGTCAAGAGTGAAGTTTCAAGTTTATAGCGATCCAAAAATTAAAAAAAAAAAAATCTTCAACAGCAGAGCAGGCAGATGAAGAAAGAATACTTCATAATGGCTACAAAAGCAAATGAAGGCTGCAGAATAGAAACCTCTCATCCATCCAGGTTTTCCTTGCCATTGGATTGTTTCCTTCCTGCAAAGTATCATGTGCTTACTGAAGAACAATTGTACCTCTAAGTTACAATATATGAAAACATCTTCTCTTTCAATAACTTTATTTGCTGTGAAACTATTCTCCTTGTATCAAGGGACTGCCACTGCCACCATTGCCTATTTTACTTATGTATTCCTCAGCTCTTATCAACTTCTTACATCTGAAATGTTGTTATGTAGCAGTAATCTGGCTCCATTTTGGTTAAAGTGGAGGATGTCCCCTTTGTATAGGATTCCCAAAAAATATTCCCAGTGATTAACACAAGTAAACTGTTCTTTGCACCACCTTCTCAGTCACACAAAGATCTTAAAGTTCTCGGTTAATGTGGATCTGTATGAGGACCATTTCTGAAAATGCAATGAAGTTGAAATTTTGCTTCCAGGTCCTCTGTCCTTTTGTCACTGATACCTGTGTTTTATGGTAGGCTCCTCCCCAGCACTCATCAGAAGTCAGATTAGATATTCTCTAAAGCAGGAAGTCAATAACCTTTTAGAATAGCGAGCTATCCTGGCTGCTTATCCCCTCCACAGTGCCCAGACCTCCCTGCTCTGTGCCAAGGGCTGGTCTCCTGTGCCATCCTAATGCAACCTCCACTTATCTAGTGCTGCTGAAAAGTACGGCTAATGTAAACTGAAAAAAGCTAATTTGGTGGTGAGGGGGAGAGAAATGTCAGGGGATTACAAGAAACCAGTCCTCAGAACTGAACAGTCACCTTTAAGGGACTGACGCACATGCTGCTGCATGTCATAAATACCCACCCTTAGGGGCCAGATCCTGTCTGCAGGCCATAGTTTGACAACCCTTGTTCTAGAGAATAGATAGATTACTGTCTGTGGCTAAGGGGAACAGGACAGGACTGACGATCTCCGATTGCACCAGGGGAAATTTAGGTTGGATATTAGGAAGAACTTTCTGACTGTAGGGGTAGTTGAACATTGGAACAAACTAACAGAGAGTGTAGGATCTCCATCCTTCAAAATTTGCAAGAGAAGGTTGGACAAACACTTGGCTAGGATGGTTTAGTCAGAGATAATTCTGCCTTGAGTAGGGGACTGGACTAGAGGACCTCCTGAGGCTCCATCCAGCTCTATTTTTTTTTTATGATTTGTCTGGCACCTCTTGCTCTAAAGTGGCTTCATCTCTCCCAGCTATACAGTTAGTCCAATAAAAGACATCAATAAAAAATTACTTGCTTTTCATATAATTCTGGAAGCAAAGCTACCCTGTAGGGATGTCTTGATTCTTTCCACATCCTCAACTAGAGATGATCAGATCAGTCTCCTGACAATTCACTGATTGTAAGGCTGGAAGGGACCTCTGCCAGAATAGAGGCCTCTGTTAAAGACAACTGGGGTGACCCCAGCAAGGTGACTGTCCAGTGATGTATTCAAAAGTCCCTAGCTCCTCAAATCCTTACAGTTATTTTACAAAGAAGCTACATCCAGTTTGACTAGTTGTTTAAGTGCTGTTAACTATGGTAGGACCAGCCCTTGTTGACTGATTATAGTTACTGCTTCTCATCCATAGGCTAGCTTTTACCCTCCAACAGGCAATAATTTATTTGCAGTGGGTTTGGATGTACATTTCTTCCAACTAATTTAGATACATAAGGAGTGTGGCAGCTTGTATTTCAATGCCTGTGCCAGTTCTTGCTAAGACTTGGCTTTTGCCAGCCAACCATCCAGACACTAGCCTACTGCTGTCAGAGAGCAGCTACCACCCTAGGTATGTGGTGAATATTCCAAAGGGCTACAAGACAGGCTGGACAGGACAATTTTAGATTGATAAGAACTAGCTCAGACAAATCTCATTTATTTGATGTGAAGACAACATGAAATCAAGCCTCTGAGTTGCATGCTTTCCAGGGAAGGCACATCACAATCTCTCACAGCAAACAAATCAAATGTGAACATCTTTATGCATCTGTTCAAATTCCTCAAGTCTAGGATGCACCTCTCCTCTGCAAAAAGAAAAGTAGAATGAAAAGGAAATACAATCCCCTCCATGAAATGGGATTTAAATCAGATTATTGCTATGTTTTAAAGAGAAGTGGATTTAATTTGTTCTCCTAAAAACTAGGGAGGAGGAAGAATATCCAGTACCCAGAGATCTAAATTAATTCTACATCAGTAGAAGTAGAGAGGAAGAAGAAAGGAGACCCAAAAGGCAGGAACAGAAAGACTGCTGACAATAGTTAACAGCTCTGGCTTATAATATCAAATCTGTTCTCTGGGAGGAGGTGGAAGACAGAGGAGGTTGTAAGGAGGCACTTCAAGCATTTGTTTAGGTCTTTTTGTTGCTGGGAACTTCTTCCAAAATAAGTCTCCAGAGCAGCCTGGTGCTCTCTGTAGTTAAAAAAGCTGGAATGCTGGAATGGAGGAGTATTTGCATTAAAGTGAAAGGTTTAGATTGACCTAAAAAATTGGCACTGGCCCATACATTTTCTCTAGGATCCCAATCCCTTCCATCCTTTCATTAAAAAGGCAAAGCCCCATAAAAGGAAAATCCTGGGGTTCACTCTTTGCTTCAGAGGATAGATGGAAGGACTGGAGTTGTTGCCCTTAAGGTCAAATAACTCTTCTCAATAGAATTAGCATCCCTGTTACTTTGTATTCTGGAGTGTATGATCAAGATTGGCATGTGTCCAATTCATTTGGATTATAAACTGACCTCTGTCCAGATGTTCACGGGTCTGTGCCATTTTCCAGTTTGTGAAATATTTTAAAAAAATCTAGCTTTCCACTTTATACTTACCCAAATCCCGGATGATCCTAAACTTAAGATGACCTCCCAAATTAGATTCTATACATGAAAAATGTATACATTTGTTATAATTTTCCAAGTAGAAAATCTAATTATTGGAGAATCATCTTTAAATTTATCCCTCCACTGCTGCAGTGGGGAAAGCAATGGAAGGGAGGCAGGTGGTGGCGGGGATCAAGTAAACTGCCCCCACTTCTTGCCCCCACCCCAATCTCCCTCTTTTGCTGTTTACCCTTGTTTCTGGGCCAAGCTAGGGCTGAAGCACACACATGCTTTGTGCCCCAGGCTGGAGCAGGGACAGAGCCTACCAGCACCAGGGCAAGTGTAGGTAGCAGAGGATGGGGTGGTGGGGGGCAGGAAGGGAGGAAGAGCAGGGTGGTGGTTAGGAGTCACAACTGCTGCCTGCCCACTCCATTCGCTCTCCCCCACCTCATACTTGATTCCAAGATGAGGGGCTTCCCCTCATTGTAAAATGGCAGGGGGGGGGGGGGGGGGGGGGGAACTTATCTTCGAATTAAGTAAATATGATACATTGTTACAATGTTTTCCGACCAACACCTCACTATTCTGCCCCAAAACCTATAAATATTTTACCCTGAGGCTCACCGAGCTTGACAGAAGCTCAATACAAACAGCTCAACCTTTCTTTCCATCTGTTCAGAGGACAGGTCTTTCCATACCATTTCTGAAGCAGCTTAGAGATCATGGATATCATATGCATGCTTCTATGGTGCTTCTAGATGGGTCCCAGAGTCTCAAAGCTGGGTCATTTGGCTACCCTTGTCCACTGCTAAATTATCATCTTTTTTTTGTTTTGCTTTTAACGGGTGTCAGGAAAGAAAAGTAAACTCTGCGTCTCTCATGGGTGGTGAAAGAATCTATGTTTTTTTGATTCCAGATATATGGTACTCAAATAAGATGGCTTTTTTCCTATTATGATAGCTTCCAAAGACAGTGTTATGAAAAAGCCAACAGTGAAGAGTGAAGAACAAGTTTCTAGCCTAGATAGATCTGCTTGATCAGTGTCTGCCCTCCTTCACTCCACCAGGCACGTTAGTTGGCTCCTGTTCTTAGTCAGGATTTCAAGGCCTAAATTCAGACTAACAGAGGGGAGGAGCACAGGAAGTGCTTAGAACAGTATTTTAGCTCTACACAGGTCTTTGGGTGGTCTGCACCAGGTTTAAGGGTCATGTTTATTCCAGAAAATACAAAACAAATCACCAATATGTTCCAAAGACAGTAAGTAGCTTCAACAGCTATATCAGGGGTGGGCAATTATTTCAGGCAAAGGGCCACTTACTGAGTTTTGGTAAGCCATCGAGGCCCGCATGACAGGCAGCTGGGGCAGATAAATATTAATTTTCTAAATTTTTTAGGGGCTCCGTGGGCTGAATGGAATGGCCTAGCGAGCCGCATTTTGCCCACCCCTGAGATATATGCTAATGAAAAACGGATGTCCTCTATACATGGTAGCTAGAGTGGTCCTTACTTTCCCTCCTTTCATGTACTTGAGAGGATGGTAAGAAGTCTTTCTGTCCTACTACCAAAACTGGCAGTGGTGGTAAGGAGGACCCTCAACACCAACTGCTAGTGTGCTGATAGTACCCTGTGCTGGTCCCAAGAGGACAAACCTTGGTATGGTTCAAACTGAGACTGCCGATTCTTATCTTATTACTTGGATTAGCTTTTATAACCCCTGTCCCTCAATGGGTTAGCTGCTTTGTTTTGATCTCATTTACCAACTTTGCCTCTGCCAGTAGTGCCCCCTCCTTTTTCTTCCTTCCCTGCCCTTTGTAGTCTAATCACTGCTTTCTATCTAGAAGCTCTGCTTTCTGCAACTCTTTCACATCTGACGAAGCAAGCTGCTGCAATAGGTTTTGTAAGCATCTCTGATTTTGTTAGTTTATACAGTGAAAATCTACCCTGCCTTCTGTCTCAGCGCAAGAAAGAAGTAGGATAGCTAAAGGTCAGATGTGGCCCTAGAACTGCTGTTCTAAGAACCCCCTGAAATTCTGAGCATGACAAATCCAGTGCTAGAAAGTAAGCTTCGTACCCCAGTATTGTTGGTGCTGATAGCACAGCAACATTGGTAAGCTCCTTGTTACAAGGAATGTTTTACAAATTCTCTAATCATTCTCTCATTCTCATTTGAACCCCCTCAATTTTTCAACATCTTTGTTGAACCAATAACATGAAAACTGGACACTGGTGATAAACAAAGAGATTACGTAACCACCCTACTTCTACTCAAGATTTCCCCAATTAAAACACCTTAAGGCCACATTAGCCCTTTTGGCCAGGGAATCTCACTAGAAGCTCTGGTTCAAGTGATCTGGGGTCCTAAGTTCCAGATCTACTGCTTTCTGGACTAGAGATACCTGATTCTGTAAGCATAGCCTGAATTCTTTTACCTAAGTTACTAGCCTTGCATTTTGTTCTATTTATACATATATATTTTGCTTGCACCCTATTTACTAAGTGATCCAGGTGGCTCTCTGAGCAAACTATTGTCTTCAATATCTATCACTCCCCCTCAACCATTGTATCAGCTGAAAACCTGAATCAACAGACATTTTGTTTTCTTCCAGGTCATTAAGAAAAATGTCAAATACTACAGGAACAATAATTGATCCTTACAAGAACTCACTGGAAACACACACTTGATGATACCCCCTCACAATTAGATTGAGACCTATCAAGTAGCCAGATTTTAATCCATTTAATGTGTACCATATAGATTTGGTTTTGTTCTGATTTTCAGTCAAAATATGATGTGGTACCAGTCAAATCCCTTAGAGAAGTATAAGTAAAACAACAACACTATTACCTGCATTAACTAAATCAAACATTCCAAGCAAAGATATAAAGTTTAAAGTCTTATACTCATCTGCTCTGGTTTAACATATTCACTGGCAAAAGTAACAAATGCTGGCCAGGCTCTTTACACAGAAAGGCACACCATTCAGTTTAAATGGAGTTTGTTTTAATTCACTCATTTAGAGGCAACTGTCATTATATCCTAGAGGGTGAGAATGCCAATGCACCACATTTTTCACTAGCGTGGGAAAGGAAACACTAATATATATATATACATATATACACACACGTGTGTGTGTGTGTGTGTGTGTGTGTATGTATGTATATATACATTTTTGTATATATACACAGAATATACATATATGAATATACAGATTATACACACACACTTTGCTTAGATTTGTTTACAAAATATGTAGCATTTTTATACCATCCAATAAAAGGTACATGATTTTAAACAAATCTTATAGAAATGACATGTTATTGGAAATTTACACGTAAAAAAATCCAGCACAAAAAATCCAAGAGCTAAAACAAGATTTTGCTACTAAATCAGTGCTTCTATCACTCTTCAATAAAGATAAACACAGTTAGTTGTATGTGATGTAAAGGCAACATTGAGGGTTTTCCTGCTGTTTTTAAATTAACTTCCAAATTTAAACCCTAAAATTTCAAAGAACTGAAGTCCATTTACAGGTCAAGTGCAGTAAACTAAATGTTCCTTCAGCACAAAGCAGCACTAGAGAAAGTAACATGGAGGGCAGAGGCCAGCAGAGTTAGCTAGGGAGATAGTCAATGGCTGCTGCAATGGCCACACAGGTCAGAATCTCCATCCTGAAGAACAAACACAAAATGAAGATTATATTTAAGTAATGTCCACACAGAACTGATGTTTAGGCCGTGACTTAGCTTCTTGCAGTGGTACATCATGTGATTTTGTTTGAATGGGTATCCTGTGGGTTGTTTTTGCAGTGGCTTGTCAGTGAATGAAGTCACGAGGAAGATCTTACAGACAGTTCTGTCAATAGAATCTACCACAGATGCATGATACCGCAGCAATGGCAACTTTTGAAATGTTTATATTGGGGTAAATAGGTGTGGCCAAAGATCCCAAATGTCTTGAAAGAATGTATTCCAATGCAGGAAAGAGCAGATAGCTTGGAAAATCCACTGAATTCACAGAAATAGAATAACGACCTTCAGTGATGTGGCATCTCCTATGTTACATGAAGATTATACTGATGTCAGCTTAACTTGAGTGAGAAGTGATTGGCTTTTGCCTTCAGATGCCTGTAATCCAAGGAGGCTGCAGAGCTAAGAACATGCTGCTAGTAAAGGCGCAGTCTACAGCTGCACAGGACAACTGTCATGCATTTAGCAATCCTTAGAGATATAGCTTGTGGGAACCACTTGTTCCAAGCTAAGTCATCTGGGATCATGTGAGTAGTGAGGTAAAAATGGAAGGGCAGGAATAGGAGAATTCAGGGAAGAATATTCATATTATTTTTAAATGTAGTGTCATTATACTGGTTAAACAAAAGGTCGATCAGCAGGATTCTTTTTTGGGGCTGGACTGGAGGGGAAGCTCTATTGCATGAGGATGAAAACAGTCATGAGAGCTAACTCTACAGTGCCCTCCTTCCAGTGACAGTTTAGCACATTAAGCTATTACATCAAAAGGTATATTACAGAAGAGAAACCTGTTCCAGTCAAGCTGTATAAAAAATGTAAAAAGTGAATTATCAGCTTCACAATGCTAAGGATGACCAGATAATTAATTTCCCTATGAAAACAGGGAAGGTACAACTAATAAAGAGACCATTTTGAATCATACAGTATTAGGGATGGGGAGTGGGAGGGCTTAATTTTCTCCATTCAGTTAGGAAAGTTGTTCTGGGGAAGTGATAAGACTGACCTACTCATACATTCTTTATGCATGGAGGGGAAATGAGAAACTATCCATACCTCCAAAGTGGTCTGCAGTCCAGCTTGGGAACTCAAATTTTGTAAAGGGGGAGCGCCAGTTGTGTTCAGTGTTTCTAATAACTAGATAGCACGGCCATTGGTGCCTGTAATTGCAGGGAACATAGAAGTTATTCCAATATCTGTGACACATTCTATATGCCTAAAGCCAGGCTGGCACATACAGCGAAGTAATCAGATATGCTGAATGTCAGGATTGAATGCATCTCACAAAGCCATCCAAAGAGGCACCCAAGGAAGAGCATGGAAAAAACTCACCTAGAGAGGGATAGCAAATCTAAATAACTCCCTGAAATACAGGCACACAGCTGCAAATACAAGAGAAAAGGCAGCCTATCTTGGATACCAGGAGTGTAGGGGCTAGTGGAGAAGGGATTGTTCTCCTTGAGTAGGAAAGGGTAGTATCCAAACATACATATAGCTGTCCCAACTCCACAAAGATGAAAGTGGAGAGGTCCAGAGCCTAGAGGCAAACCATTCTGGTCAGCCCTTGCCAAAGGGGCATCTTGCCACAGAGCGCCAAAGGTTTTCCAGATGTGTGTAACAGCATGTGCACAAGGCAAGCAAATGAGCACAGACAGGGTTATGGAAAACATTGAGAGAATCACTCCATGGGTGGCTTGAGGCTCAAAAAGTAGGACTGACTGGAAAGCGGAGCGCACAGCATGGGGGCACCTCAAAGCTGAAAGCCTTCCATGGGAGCCTCGCATTGCTGGAAGATGTACTGCTGCTGGCTGAGATCAACTTGCGGAGCAATGCTGCTATCCTCGTCCTCCGTCCCAAAGTAGTGCTCAATCAGATCAAAAGCCTTCTGATAGATTTCTTGGTTCTCATGGCTCTGCAGGAATTCAATCTTATCAAGACCTACAGAAGGAAGCAGATCACAAGTAATACAGTTTTAGTGAGGCAAACATCTCTCTCCCCCTCTCTTGGCCCACTAGAAATATCTAGTCTATTACAACCTGCCTTTACCTCCAAAAAAACCAGGCTCCATGGCAGAGGTTCCACCCCCAACCTGCCCTGGCCAACCCCTGCCCCACCAAACAAAGAAGCAAAAATAGGTCTTATTTTTGGCCAGAGGCTCACAGAAATAAATAGTAGACTACTGTTCGGATTTCTCTGTCAACCTCTTGTTTCCCACTACACAAGCAAATCACAAGGAGAAACTATGAGGGTCTGGAGAACAAGGCCTTAAAATCTGTTCATGATTACACTGTGTCAAGGGCATGTTTCTGTTTGACAGACGAGTTAGTATATGTATATAGTACAGCTGACCTACTACAAACAGGCTTTTCGCATGCGTAAACAGACATAACAATATAAGACTTGGTAGCCAGGAAGAGATTTTTTTAAATACTAAGCTGCTGCATTTCAGTGTAAGTAGGTATACTGAAGTAATGAAATCTAGGTTTTGGTGATGGAACTAAGTCATAAGCACTGAATTCTGACAGCCTCCTTGTGTGTAGCCTTTCATTACTGCATGAACCCAAAAGAGATAACTTGGTGACCTTCAGCTTTCTAGTATTATCATCTTAAGAATTATCATTTGGGATAACAACGTGCAGGAGGAAGTTCTGGACTGTCAAATGCCCTGTCTAATCTCCAAATCATTTTTACTCTCATTAACTTTAAGTCTGAGCCAGCAGCACTCCTGAAATTAGTAAGGCTAACCCAAAGCAGGCATTCACTGTGAATCTGGAAAAAGGAATTTCTCATTATTTACCTACCTTGGTGTTTTTACCATGCCCACCACCAAATACTTACATAAGAAGAAACCTAACCAAGGAGCTTAGAAAAGACTGCCTCCAATTTCACCTACAAATTGACGAATACCCCGCACTTTTCCCAGTCAGGCTTCAGACCAGGATATGGGGGAAAAAACAGACTGAGGAGGGCATAGATAGAAGGATGACCTCTTGGCTAAGGACAAGGGCCAGATATCCAAATCCATGCTGCTGCATCTTTCTGCAGCATCTGATAGAGCTCGCTGTGGAATCCTATTTATAGCCTTAGAGATACGGCAGGGGCTTAGAGGATTGCACTACCACTACAAACATGGTAGTGCTTCACACTTCTTTCATTTAGAGAAGTAGTATGTTCACCATCTTCTTTACTTTCAAAACTCCTCTCTTGTAGGATTCAGCATTTACTAAGCAGAGGCAGTGAAAGAGCATGAGCTAAAATGTCAGCTGGCAACCAGCATTTGAGATGGGGATGGGTTGCAGCTGAAACCACTCAGAACGGTACTAATATAGAAAGAAAGAAAAATGTAAGATACCCTTCAGGCTGGTTTAGTGGGATTAACAGACATATTTGACCTGTATGCAGCAATGCAACTTGGGAGGCAAAATGAGAGAAGTGGGGTACCAGCAATATGAGCACTGGTGGATCCAGGGGGAAGAGTTGTGGTGCAGTTGTATCCCCTTTGGATTTCTGCTCCACCCACATTTTAAAACCAACTACCCAGGAGATGCAGCATTTCTATTCAGGCAGCAGTATGGGAATCAATTCATTTCATGGCTCATAAATGTGCCTGATTCCTGCTACTCTCTCTTCACTCCACAGGTGTTAATGACCCTCTCCTTTTTAATGGTCTTGATGTTCCACTAAATCAAGTTAATCTTTCTTCTGCAATTTTGCTGTCTGTTTGCTATTTCTGGTAATCTCTCTCTTCTACTTCTCAGCCCCAAAGACTGTTTTCAGTTCTAGCTCAAAACCTTATTCAGGTGTAGTAATATTAGCTCAAGGAAACATTAATTTAGCTGTGTGAATGATTGACAGGGAAGTATTGGATGCACTGTCAAGATGCTCAAGAAGGCTAGATTTTGTTTTAAAATGATGAATGAGATGTAGATTTAAATATAAATGACTGCAGGACTACCAAAACAACACCTTTGGACTAACACCCCAGTTTTTCTGGAAGTGGAGAAAAATATGTACCATATTATGTGTGATGATGCCCCATACCACCTGCACCGGCTTCTCAAAATCCTAGAGGATGCCAAAATGACAGTGCCAGGGAGCTTGTGTTAACAGCTCCCACCCATGTCTGGGGAGCTTCTACTTAGGCAGCAGCAACCTCTGCATGAGAAGGTAAGTGGCTTGCTTCCCACCCATCTCCAACCCACACCTCCTAATTGCTCAAACCAATCTTATTAGAAATTATTGCCACTGTGAGCAATACCATATTTTACAGACTGTTAAAGAAGACATTAAAGGAGGGTCATCTGCTGGAAGTGGGTTCCAGGTAGAATGACAGTGATCCTTTCAGGTAATGTGACAGAGCTTCTTTTACCTTCTAAGCTATCTAAGGTGTTCGTCACCTCATCCATGAGCTTCACAACAGGATCAAACCCCTAGAAGGACCAGGGTGAGATCTCTATCCCATAAGGAAAATCCTCTCTCTGTTTAGATGTTTGACTGAACCAAGTTATAACACCAAACTAGAAGAGGGGATGTCTTCCCAAAACAGATGGAGGAAGCATACCAGGACCTCACTTAAATGTGTCAGCTTCTCAAGTATGACAGGGAGGTAAGCAGACACTGCAGTGCCCAATTGTTCACCCTAAGCAATTCAGCAATTAAGAAAAAGATATCTTGTCCTGCCCAAGCAAAGGCTCATGGTACGTGAGGCCCACAGAATCTTCTACATCTTTCACTATAACCCAGTTGGGCCAAAATTCTCCAGTTACAACAGTGAAACTGGTATGTGGCACAACCTAGCAAATCCACAATGAGCAATCATTTTTCTGAGTTGAGGAAAGCTATTAGAATGGAAAACTAGATATACTGCACAACAGAACCCAAGATGGTTGGATCTGAGCACCAGGTTCCCACAGTGGAAAGACTGCAGAACCAGAGGAGAACCTAAAGATAACTATGTAGATTCAGTGTGTTACTGAAGCATCATGATGTGGTACCAAAGCCTACTAGGATCCCCAAGGGAGAATGACAGAGCTGAACTATGAAATAAGTACGGCAGGGAGTTCCTGTCTGCGGTATTCAGGCAAATAAGGAAAGAGGGAGATTAAAGTAAATGAGTCCTCTATCTTGTGCTGTACCTATTGAGGAGGAAGAGTACTGAAGCTGAGGGACATTGCCAAAGCTCTTCATAAGCATTAAGTGCTTAAAAAAAAAGTATATGATCAACCTCTACGTCAAACATGAGCAGCGCTAACTCAGCAGATGGTGCATGTTGGTGGATGGGCATGGGCATCCTTCAGGGAACAAAAGGGCAGAAAGATGACAAAGAAGTCTAAAGCACCAATCCTGAGCTGTTGTATATTAAAGGGTTCCCAATTACTGCACATCTAACCTGACCTCCACAGATACTTTGTCCTTACCGTATGCTTCTTCAATAAGAGCACAATAAGGATTAATGCCAGCACCACTGCGTCTAGATTCCTGCTCTCCAAGTCTGAGGATGTTCTCCAGACCATTCAGTGCCACCTGAACAATCTTTGAATCCATTACTGTAAGAAGGTCACAGAGTGGTTTGATACATCCCAGTTCTACTAAATACCTGCAAAACACCACATACAACATGGTCAGTAATTTAGATGAGTCATTTGCATACTATATGAAGTTGCATGGCCTAGCAGTTTGTGAAGGCCATGCATGTTATGAATCAAAACAACGAGCAGTGAAAGACCATTCCCTTCCTGGTCATCTAGGTGTCCAGATCTGGTGGCTTATATGTTTTTCATCATCTATGTGCCAAAAATGCCACTTATGTAAGGCTAGTATGCTATTCCTGGTGGCATAGCATGTACACAGTTGGCTGTGTGACTATGCAGTCACACAGAGTGGGCATGCATAGTAACAGCCATACCACATATGCACGCCCTTTGTGGGCACATACAGAATTCTCAGATGCCCAGAAAGAGAGTTAGCCAAATCCATGAATGCCAGACCTAGAGTGAGGACCAGAAAGGTAGTAGGTGCATAGATCCATCTCTCTCTCTCTTATCCCATCGCTCAGTGACTAAGGCACTCCTGGATTCTAGGGCCTCTCACCCAAAGGGGAAATTTAAGAAACTGGGCCTGATTGGACTGTACCTATACTCAAGGTAAAGGCTTTCCAGCTCTTCAGCAACTAGTGTGGTACTTTACACATAAGCATTAAGTTCATTCAAATATTCAGAACAACTTCCATTTCCACCTACTTGATCTGTTCAGCAGAGCCTCCAGATGTTGCATTTGTGATTGCCCATGCCGCTTCTTTTCTTGTCCGAAATTCAGCTGTTTGCAAAATATTTATAAGGGCTGGGAAAATATTGGCATCTATGACTGTCTGCAAAAAGGAATGACACATAAGGTTAAAGCATCAGTTATTAGACGTACAGTTTCTTTGTCCTGAGCTGTCTACTCCAATCTCAGTGCTATGTAAGAAACAATGAAAGATTCCTTCTAAAATGAAATGAAATGAAATGAAATGAAATGAAAGATTCCTTCTATAGGACCACTCGGCAATCTTTAGGCTTACATTCATAACTGCATTTACCATTCAATTCTATGCTGTATGGGGCCCCTGAACACAAAGAAAATCTCCACAAAAATGAAAACAACAACAGATTCTCTTCTGCAGAACAGGCAAAGCAAGAGATTTTCTATTTAGATACTTAACTATCTGGCACATCAAACTAATGCTAGTCAAAAGACCAGTTTGTAAAAGGTGGTTTTCCCTGGGAAAATGGTCTTTTGCATTAATGGACAAATATTCATAGCTAGAAACCAATTTATTTTCAATATCATGACAGAATATCTGAGATACATACACACAGCTTTTGCAAATGACAGCAGCATCTTATTGCAGTGTAATTAAATGCAAGTCCGAACAGAAGTGTTAAAAGCAAACAAAGGCAATTCCTTTTCAACAGTTTTGTAGAGGAGAACAAATGCATGTATTTGGCATAAATAAAAGCTATATTCAGTGCACTGGACAGATGGATGGATGAAGTTCAGTAAATGAGGCAAAAGGTTCGATAAGGCCCCAGCACAATTTATGGCACAATTAGTACCATGACATGTTGGTATACTGCGAGTAATTTTGGGCGCCGCACTTCAAGAGGGATGTGGATAACCTGGAGAGGGTCCAGAGAAGGGCCACACGTATGGTGAAGGGCTGGCAGGCTAAGCCCTATGAGGAGAGACTAGGGCCCCTGGACCTCTTCAGCCTCCGCAAGAGAAGGCTGAGAGGCGACCTTGTGGCTGCCTATAAGTTCCTCATGGGGGCACAGAAGGGAATGGGTGAGTATTTATTCACCAAGGCGCCCCCGGGGGGTACAAGAAATAATGGCCATAAGCTAGCAGACAGCAGATTTAGACTGGACATTAGGAAGAACTTCTTCACAGTCCGAGTGGCCAAGGTCTGGAACGGGCTCCCAAGGGAGGTGGTGCTCTCCCCTACCCTCGGGGTCTTCACGAGGAGGTTAGATAGGCATCTAGCTGGGGTCATCTAAACCCAGCCCTCTTCCCTTCCTATGCAGGGGGTTGGACTCGATGATCTATTGAGATCCCCTCCGACCCTAACATCTATGAATCTATGAATGTTCAGCCAATTTATGGCACCATAAAATGGCCAAACAACAACAAAGATAATATAGAACATCTTTGTGGCTGGTTTGTATGACTTAACTGAATGTGTGGCACATCCTGATAATCAGATGATTGTCAGAATGGGTACTAGGCAGCCCCAGGTCCTGAACCCAACAGTCAGCTGATTGTTGGCATCAGGACAGGGACAGCCCATGTCAGCCTCCTGATGCCAACAGTGGGCTGGTGGACAAGTGGCACAAGGTTCCTGGCCCCTTGATTTCCCCCAGGAATCTTGCAACCCTTGGCCTAGCACTTTAAAGCCAGCACATTTGCTGCCTTGCCTAGTGCTACAAACATCAACTTCTTATATTCCCAAATGTATTATCCTGATTATCCCAATTGTATATAGCACAATATTATGGCTACTTTCACTCCCCTCCTTGATGAGAGTGGCTTAACTGAAGCAGACTTTTATGACTGAATAATTATGTTCTTTGGAAGTCTAGTAAAATATTCTTGAATGTCAAAAAAATTCTTCTCTCAAAGGAGAAAAGTAGAGTCTTTAGAAAAATCTACCTGGAACACCAAAAAAAGGTGCATGCTACATATTTAACATTCTTCCTGAAGCTATGGTATCTTCAGTCACACACCCCAATTACAAGCCTCTGAAAGATACAAAACCTTGAGATAATGCTGTGATGATATATTTCTGTTTCAATGGAAAATATTCATCTCCTTAGGACAGGAGAAACTAAGGGTAGAATTCTTTTTCCCTTTGTTATATCTAAATAGAAGTTTTTTAGCTGTATAATTACCAATAATATCACTTACATGCAGGTGGTAAGTCTCTCACCCGTACAGTGTGGAAGCATAAATGGGTATGCACAGATTAAGGATACAGGAGGTTGCACATATAGCTACATATGTGAGACCACCGTGGACACGTACATGCATCTAAGTCTGGAAAATGGAGGCAGCCCAGACCTAGCAAGAGATAGACTTCAGAGCAGGAGTCTCCCATATCCCTGAAGAGGATAATAGTCTTCAAGTACCTGAAGGGTGGTTATAAAGAGGATGGTGATGAGTTATTCTCTGTGGCTGCAGTAGACAGGACAAGGATCAATGATCTTAAATTGCAGCAAGGGAAATTTAGGTTGGATATCAGGAACAGTTTTCTTGCCATAAGATCAAATAAACATTGGAATTGGCTATCCAGAGAGATTGTGGAATATCCATCCTTAAAAGTTCTTAAGAGCAGGTTAGATAAACATGGATGGCTTTAGTCAGGGGTAATCTTGACTTGAGCAGGTTGGACTAGATGACTTCATGAAGTCTCTTTTAGCCCAGTTTTTTATGATTCTATCTGTATAGATATGGAGGCAGATAATTATGGAGAATTCCTTCCAGAGTAGAGATTCTAACTCTGGATCAAAGATACCATCTGAAAGGAACTGCAAAGGAGATGAGGGAAGTCCCATTCTGAAACCAGGCAGAAACCAAGCTGGCCAAGAGTCACTTTTGCATGGATATTTCAATTTAAATTTGCATACAAATCTATGCAGTGCCAGTAGACCTCTGGCATATTGATAAATGGAGTACACACATGATATGCTTAAAACAAAACAACCCCCCACCCCAAAAAAACAAGTCCTCATAAATATTTCAAATAATTACTTATTTTCATCAGTCCCCTCAAGGCACACCCTGTGATGTAGGAACAATGATCCTGCTAAAACCACAGGGCGCCTATAAATGTGAAGTGAGGCTGCTCTGACATGCTATAATTACAGCACATCGGAACGGACTCCAGCATTTCATGCATCAGTGTTCCCATGCTGAAAAATGGTGGCAGAGGTACTTTAACTAAAGTTCATTCGACAAGTTTTAGTTAAAAGTGCCCTTTGCCACCATTTTTCAGCACAGGGATTGAGACGCTCCAGGAGCTCTTGGAGCCACTCTAATTAACGCCTTCCCACCTCCCTCCAGAGCATGTGTATAAATGCCCAAAGTTTTTATCTCATTCTAGAAGTGTAAAAGATGTTCAAAACTAGTGTTTTTAAATTGCAAGAATCTTTCCAAATATGTTGGTCTTTAAAAACGCTAAACTATTTTGTTCAAGCTTTTGAAAACAAAATCACTTTAAAAAGTTATAAACAAGCATGGAAGACTTGAGCCCACGACACGGAAATTAAACAAAATTCTGTGCATTGTATCATTATCTTGTAAAAACTCTTGTACAACAAGGACCACGTGCAAATGTAGTATGCTCCCTTGTGCTCTATATATTACTAGTGTGGCAGACTGATGATTCTGTAGCAGCTTAAAAGACTATAAACAAACACATTTTGAACTAAGTTAAACATAAATCAAGTTAATAAAAAAAAACTGCATTTTTTTTCCTGATAGTACTATTATTTTCTACTGCATCTACATTTTCCTGTATCATTTCCTGTATCATATTTAGAGGAAAATATTAAAATGTTTGTTTCATTTTTCACGTTTTATATAAATGGGTAGGAACAGCTACAGTTTTTGGCATGTGGGAACAGAGTGAATTTGTAGGATAAGCATGTAAGCAGGATCACAACAAAATAGTTCACGCTGACATTAAATATGCATCATTAGATTTTGAAGGTCCAATTAAGCTCCAATTGACAGCAACAATGGAGTGTTAACGTAGAGATGGTGCTAGCAGTTCCTTCTGTTTTTTAAACACTCTGTTGTCCAAACCTACTCATGACAAGGCTATCTAATAGTGTGCCTTTGACACAGACAAGCAAGTTAAACCCTGCACTAGTGTTCCCATTACTGGACTTTTTCAGTGGGAACAAAAGCAAGCACAGACACAACCTTGTAGAATTTTCTTCATTCAGAAGAGCTAGAAGAAAAAAATTAAGAATGTAAAAGCACAGTCCTACACCCACAGAACAGACTGTATCCTAAAAAAAGATAGTATTATGTAGACTACCATTAACAATACTCAAAAAACCTTTAACAGTTTCATAAGATAACAGTATGGACTCCCTATATGTGGATATAATATCTAAAAGTAGGTTGTTGCCTACAAAAGGTCATGACTCTCTGAACCACTTAAGTCTCTAGAAGTGCCAAGTTGCCCTACCTTCTGCCTGACTTCAGACTAACCTGACTAATGATCTCTCTATATGGATGAAATTATTAAAGTTAATAAAATGGAGAAGTGCATTAAAAAGCCAAGGGTCAAGATAAATGTACTATTCATGTAAATTTGTGAACTGGAAGAGTAGAATCCTACAGCAGTATACTAGGACAGGTATCCTAGGATTTGCACTATTTACAAAATACAAACACAGAGCAACTTCCATTTTTGACACCCTCAGGAATATGATTGACATGTTTAAGCATAAAGTTACACACTGGATAGAAATAATATCCAAGAGAAGCATGGTTTTACATGGAACTGAATGATGGGCTTATGATTAAGGGTGCATTCTCTTTGTCCACATGTTTGCTGCTTATTCTGTGCACATGTACATATCCAAGAACATTTTTTTGAACTTCAGACAAGGTGGCAAATCAACTTGGTTATGCAAGAAAATTAAAAAACCTGACAGAAATTTATGGAGGGGATAGGATGATATAAAAAAGGAGTTCTGACTGTACAATAAGGATATGTGATATAGACTCATACAGAAGTAGGGCTGGAAAGGACCTGTGGAAGTCATCTAGTCCAATTCCCTGCATGGGGCAGGATCAGCCCCACAGCTGCATCCAATA